GATACTTAAGCACTTGTACATATAATATGGACACAAGTTTGGTGAGCAGCCAACTAGCTTATTATTGTGCGATCCCTTGTCTATCTAAATTCCATTTCCAAGATGGATGTCAACATATGCTACATCCACTCCAAGTTAAAATGGACATTGGAAAAAGGAATTCAAAAATTAATATTATATTTTTTTGAAAAAGAAAATTTTTAAATTTATATCATTATCATGGTTGAGACCGTTGAATTCTAAGTTTTCTTATAAAAAATACATCTTTGAAATGAAACCGCACAAGAATAATGTGAGTCATATATTCCGTAATATCTATACTATTTTTAAAATTTCAAATTTTATTACCAGTGTTGAAAATTGATTTTAGATCCATCATAGATATTTATGTTGGATAAAGATTTGAGGTGAGGCTTTATGTTGTTCTCAAAAAGCCTAGGCCTTACAGAAACTTCATCCTATAACTACTTCCAACAAGGGGTTGGTACTCTTTCATATTATTTTGGTCTAGAAACAATAATGGCTGAGGAGAAAGCAGGAAATACTCCAACCCTAATCCATGATCATGTCTATAGGATCAGCACAGAAGAAGAATGGAAGGAGCTGCAGAGGACTGGGTCCATTTTTGGAGGGGATTTGGACAAACAGACGGGATGCATCCATCTAAGCACGATCGAACAGGTATTCTCAGAGTTTCAGCTCTGAATTTCTGTGAATTTCGGCCAACTTTCAGTTTACAGATCTCTCATTTAGTGGCAGAAACTTGCTCAAGAAATAGTCGTGGCGAAAATTTCAAAATTCGTTTGGTATTCCGGATAATTTCCTTGAAAATGCGCTAAAACTCCAAATTATGAATTTTTTTGGGAAATATGAACAAAACCTCGTTTTGACCCTAAATTTTACTGCATGATCAAGTACCAATTATACAAAAAGATAGCCATCAAATAAAAGTTTGCCGGAATTTTAACTATAATATAATAATATTGTTACTATAATAGTAACCTATAATATCGGTACATTTTTTTTATAACATTGTTTTATTATCTTAACAAATTAATATCATCTTATAATAATAACAACAATAATAATAAATTAATAATAATAATAATAAATTAATAATAATAATAAAATAATAATAATAATAATAGGATGTGGTTTGTATAAGGCTGAGGCTTTAAATAATTAAAATAATGCGTACCTTTCAATTAGTGTCAAAAGATATCCCTTCATTACTATAGATCTTTATGATGCCGTAAAAATTTATTTTTATTTTTAATTATAAAATTTTATGTTTAAAAAATAGTGTAGATCAAGTAGATCTATGAATACTTAGAAATCTTGAAAAACTAACGGCGTGTTGCACTATTTCCAAGACTTAGAAATCCATTTTTTCTATGTCCATGCATCCTCCCGTGAATTTTTGAGGTGTGTCTTAGTTTGATGGTTTAAAGCCTCGATCTTATATAAACTTTTTCCATAATAAATAAATTATTATTATTATTTTAGGAAATATACAACATCAATATTAGTATTATTTTATTATAGCTCCTATTTTTAACTGCAACATAATATATGTAGATATAGATAAATAATTATCTTGCAGCATAATATATGTAGATAAATGAGTTATGTAAGAGGTTCAATTTAGCATTACATTCTCTCCAAAAGAAAAATAGTATGCCACTTTGTAGAACTTATGGAAAAAGCAGATGTTTTTCATGTTGCTTGACCCAAGAGCGTTATAATTGTTGTTTGATTCAAGGTAAAAGCTGTTCTAAACAACTTCTTTCGTGGACGGGAGGGTCTATACTTGCTTCAAATTGACGCTAGAAAGGTATGTTGGGAACTTCACTACAACGAGGATTCTATTATTATTATTATTATTATTATTTTTTTATTTTTTTTTAAGGTACATAAGTTAAAGATCTGAACCAGCTTTTTTTTATTATTATTGTAAAGCTGGGAGCTTTATTTTGATTTTGAATATTTTTTTTATTATTATTGTAAAGCTGGGAGCTTTATTTTGATTTTCAACAATGATTTTATAAGACCCTCTTCCACTTATCTGTGTAGGATCTCAAATGATTATCATTAAATTTAGCTAAATTTTTTATAGATTTATAAAAAGGTCAAATCCCACACTCATATGATAATTTTTTTTAGAGATCCATGTCAACTTTAATGGTGATAATTTAGAATAAAAAAAATCCTATAAAATCATTACCCTTTCATTTTTAATTGAAATATAAAATATACGTTTTATTTTTAATTGAAATATAAAATATACTTTTCATTTTTAATTGAAATATAAAATATAAAATATACATTTTTAATTGAAATATAAAATCATTACCCTTTCATTTTTAATTGAAATATAAAAAAATTAAAAAAAATTCCAAAAGCTCAAAAATATATTTGTAATATGTTTTTTTATGTTTTTTTTTCAAAAAAAATATGAAAAAAACATGGTTATTTATGTTTCTATCATTTTGACAAAAACTGGAAAGTATTTTGTCATGAATACTTATTTCTATATTTTTCCATTTTATTCGAAAAATTTCAAAAAATACCTCTGGTCACTTTTTTAAAAATTTATTTTTTCACTATTTTTTAATCATAATTGGTTGTGTTTTGTTATGTTTTGCTTTGACTTTATTTTTTCAATTTTTTTGTATTTTTTTAATAATTTTCAACTGCTATTGTACTCAGCTCGAGGAGAGTCAGTCAAGTACTCGGCTGGGCCCAGCCGAGTAATACGATCTGAGTCGACTTTTCGAATATTAGTTTTCATTGCCTTTCTTTAAGAATGGATTGTTGGCTGTATGATGGCTCAATACTTCTAACAACTTTGTTCCCAATAAAACAAATTCTACCTTCATGATGACAAGTCAATTACATGAAGAGCAATTCAATTAAAATATTCCGATTTAGAGTAGCAAGATGGAAGACCGTTAAATAATTTTGACTATGAACCTTAGAAATTTGCCATTAGTGTGTTTGGCACCAATGTATTTGCACATTGGGGCCTTTTTGATAATCGTTCATAAACGGTAAGTTGGAAGTTCTTTAAGAACTTTAAATTAGAAGTTACTTAAGAAGTTCATGATTTCTATGTTTGATAACCTCCTTAAGAAATTAAAAAGTTCATTGGTTTCTACGTTTGATAACCTCCCTAAGAAATTAAAAGGTTCATAATTGTTGTGTTTGATAACTCCTGGGATATATGGTAAATATCTTATATTTATATTTTTATTGATA